TTCGTTATTATATGTGGCTAAAATGATATATGGACAAATTTCGCTACATTGAAGAAATGTTGATAATGTCTGGTGTAAAAATAGGTTACGGATATATTAGTAACATTTTACATCGGAAATGAACGAAAAGTTAGCGTAATGTAACTATTTCCCTTTCAAGATCATTAAGTAATGAATCAACTTATTTTCTCGAACCTTTGGCTCATAAAATTTATTGTGATAGAATCATTATTAGCTCATGTTTGGCCCACATTTTCTAGAACTCATTTATCAAAATCTATTAAAAATATAATTTTTAGCTAAAATTAAGGTTTTGTTTGTTTCTGATTAAAATCAAATTTTAATATAAGTTAAGGTCAAACAATCAACATTAACCACGTCTTTTATGGGTCCCACGGTTTTTCAACTACACATTTTAAAAACTTGTATCACAATATACTAAAAATCTGATTTTAATTCTCACCAAACACTCACTAAATAGGCCTTATAAGTCATTTACTTATATTTTATTTTTAATTCGAAATAGGTTAACTCTATTACCATTACAAAATTTGTTTCCTACACCATAATTTTAAATATATGTTTTATCTACTTACAAACAACACTAAGTAAGATTACACAAATAGACGTTCTTTTAAATATTTTTTAAAACTAGTTTTTTATTTTGTTTCCACCACAAACGTGAAACTTATCTTTTTTTTTCTGCAACTTTTTTTCTCCACCGTGGACATGCTTTTCTTTTCCCACCGTGGACATGTTTTTCTTTCCCTCTTGTTTTTCTTTTTTTGGTGGTAATTATGGTGGATTGTCTATTTTTTAATTGATTTTGTGATGTATGTAAAACTTGATGATTGTAAGTAATTAATAAAATTAACTCGTTGTAAGTATGGGTGGGGTGGAGAATTAGAAATGGGGTAAGCGTGGTAGAGGGGTGCTTACAGTGGGTGGGGTTGGTATTTCATTTGGTAGAATTAGAAATGATAGTTTACTGGTGAGGTGCGAGAAGTTTTTGACTTTTCTAGGAAGGATTAATGGGGGCTAATTGGTGGTGATGGGTGGAAAAGTTTTTTTTTTTTTTTTTTTTTTTCCTTGGGCAAGGTTGGAGTGCCAATGAGGTGGAGAGGGAGAATGGAAGAAATGTAAAATTGAGAAGGGATGAATACCACAATATTTTAAGTTTTAATTTAATTAGGACTATAATTGTAAATTTAATGTGATGTATTTATTAATGTATTAATTAAAAATAAAATTTATTTGAGGTATAGTTATAATGTG